ACCGAGCAGGTTGCTGTATTGAGACTTTGGATTCCCGATCAACCAATCCCCAACACCGGAAAGTTGGGACAATCTCCATCGATCAATTGACCACGCTGCCATCAACTCTGGAAAAGTCTCGTTGCTCCGCCCCAGCAACAAATCTCAAATTCTCAAAGCTACAATCCTCCTGACGGTTTCGAAACTAGATCCTCGAGGTTATACTCAGCGTAGAAGACCGCGCTAGTGTATGATCAAACGGCACTAACTCGACAGAGCGACAAGTTCATACAGGCAAAAGGACTTAATTTCACTCAGCGGGATGAGTAAGAGAGTTTGTCGCCGGCGACAGGAGCATGATGCCAGCCTCCAGGGTGGACCGGAAATCATTATGTAATTTTCAATTTTTGAATGTTAACATCCATCTCGCCCAACTCTACCATCGCTTGGCTACTTTTTGCATGCCCTCCACCAATGCTCGTCGCTCGTCAAGACTGGAAATCTTTGTTTCCATCTCGCTGGGTCATGAACCGAGGTTCCCGTCTAAAAGGGCGACAGGGAAGGAATTTGGGGCTGACATGGCGCGGACAGAAGGCACAGTTTTTGTCTCTGGTCTTTGACTTTTCATGACCTCAAGACTATACTCTCTTCGACTGGAGCGCAAGCTTTGCGGGCCCTGTTACTCGGAACTTCGGAGTCCGCATGAACCGTATGGTTGTATTGCTGCTCGGAGTGCATCACTCCTCTGATGACGCCATACGACGATCAGTTTGGCTGTCCAGTTCCTATAAACATCGAAAAGGGTCGAATGGGATACTAAATGATCGTCGCTCTTACGCCGATGGATACATGAATGATGAAACTCAACGAGGTTCTTCTACGTGGATTAGAGAGTACGCTTGATCTATTTATGTTTTATGCCTGATATATCCTCACGTTTCAACCCTAGAACTATCTGGACTGCATCCCCATTCCCTTGCAAAAAGCTGTACCTTCCGAACAGCCCGACTCTCTATTAGCCAAAATGCCACCCATAGACTTGGGATATCAATGCATCTGTCAAAAGGCATTGCGCCGGGACCAGAGTGGAATTTTGATTGTGGTGAAGATGAGCCCCGATACTTAATCGCAACGTCGGGTGTTATACAAAACCCAGGACTCATCATTCCGGTCATGGCTTTTTCCCCATCATCTTCTCTCCTTCTCCAATCCGTTCACCGCTAGGTTGTAGCATGATGAAATCGTTCGTTTTTGCGTTGTTTTGACCACCTTTCTGTACTGATTCTCGAAGCTTCTACAGGTTACTCTCCTTCGTTCTGGCGTCGAGCCTGTGGAGCCAAGTCTATTCATTCGCCCTCAGCAACATCCCCTCGAATATTGTCGTGAAAAAACAGTTCTCTGTCGATTGGGCTTCACAAGAGGGAGATCCCCTGAACGTCAATATACTCGTTTTTGACGCGATACGGACTCCTGCGTGCCGGTCAAGCGAAGGCTCACATTACGAGCTATCTCAGGTGGTGTCGAGTAGCAGCGGACAGGGCTCCGTTCCGTTCACGGTTCCACATTCTGGGTGCGTTTTGATGCCACCTAACGTTCGACAAATATCGGGGCTAATCATTCTTGTAGCAATTACATCCTCTGTGCTTTTAACTTTACAAACTCGTAAGCACTAATCGTTTTTGTCTCGCCGGATTGAGGTTGTTCTTAGTCGGCTTCTACAGGTCGGATCCATCTCGAAGCATTACCGGAACGAGTTTCTTCAACTCGAGCAATGTCGTTGCAACTCTTCCAACACAGACGGTTACGGTTACAGCTGGATCAAGCCAACAAACCGGTGGTGTTGACTCGGCCTCACCTTCCTCCTCCAAAAATAACGACGGCGCCATCATTGGTGGAACGGTAGGAGGATTCCTAGCGCTCCTACTCGCAGTTCTACTCTCCCTCTTCTGTTTCGGTCGATATCGAATCGTACATGAAGACGATCCGAGGTTCTACAATTCGAAATACTCAGATCATGTCGAGGGAGATACGAGGTCTATTACGAATGAATATGAACGAGTTACTGGGACGGCGAATATCGATAGTGGGAGTTTGTACCCGCCTACGACAACTTACCGGAGTGGGATTAGTGAACATGGATGGGGGTCGCAGTCTGGACCGTCGGAGTTAGCTGAAGAGACACCGCCGTCGTATGCTAGTGTATCTGGTCATGGGGTAGGAGCTTAGATGACACCGTAGTTTCACTCCCTTGCGTACTTGGGTTTTGAATTTCTGTTGGGCGTGAATATATTGGTCTTTCAATTTCTCCTGTTTCAAACTACACGCACGATCGATAATTCGGCGCTCAGTAAACGTCCTCACCTCGGCTTCGGTGACTTGTCATCTGGGATCAGGAAATCTGCGAAAACGTAAGCTTTGGGAGTAATGTATTTCCGGTGATTATTTGTCGCTTCGGTCACTACACGACCATTCTCAGTGCCGCCCTTATGGGCGGGCCCGACGTATCCGACGATGAAGGAAAGGAGCCAGCGGGACAGGATGAGAATACCAAGAGGTGAAACTTCGCATCATCGGGCGGCGGGCGGTCGAGGTTTCTTTTGGTTCCCAATTGTTCATTCATTAGAAGATGCGGCGACTGGATGAGAATGGCTTACAAGCCTGTGTATCTCGACTCTGCTGATCCCTTGTGGCAGGCGGGGATAACTCATGATTGAATTGTGAACGTTAATAAAGTCGGTACATGTATTTACATAGCCAGCTGGAGATAGGCACGAGGGACCTCTGGAGATGAGCAATTCAACATGTCGCCCGACAATGAATGATGATCAGTAATACAAATTTACATGAGATACATATATGGATGCAGTTTTCGTTGCGCCTTACCTCCCCGCTCTCTCTCTCTATCTCATTGACCGCCGTTTGGGTTATGCTTGTTCCTTGGTGAGTTTGAGTGTATTTTCTCCTAAATTGAGTAGTGGCTGACATACGAATATTCAGTGTCCTCCCGGTCGTCTTATCGTTTCTAACATTGGCAATCGCTTTCACAGTCGAAGCACCGGGCAGTGTATCCGTCGATGGCCAATTTCTAGTGAATTGGACCTGGCTTACAAGTGAACCGGGTCAGATAGTTATCGTTCTTAACGATGTGTCCAAAGCTCCGGATTGCCCAATGGATACTTCAAAGAGAGAAAGGTCTTACGTTGTGTTGGATCTGGCGAATAGAGCAGGATCGCTAGGTTTCTATGTGGATCATCCTGGGTATATTTTCCCTCGTTTTTTCATTCTGAATGGTAATCATGATCGTATTTTAGTACGTTCCAGGCTTGTGCGTTCACTTACGACGATCAGTAAGTTTATTGGCCCCTCCATTCTTCCTCCCGTACTCCAAATTGATTGATCAATCTTTTCAAGGTCGGGGAAAACGCCAGTGAGCAGCGTTATCACCAATATCGCCAAGTCAAAAACATTTGACGGGTCTCTCCTTGCAACGACCGTTACCGTATTGCCTTCCGGCTCAGCCACATCGTCTCCACATACCTCAGGATCCAACAGCCATAAGAGTAGCAGCATCGCAGGGCCAGTAATAGGCGGAGTCATTGGCGGCATCGTTCTTCTGTTCCTACTCGTTTGGTTCGTCCTGTTCAGGATGAAGAACTACCGTGTCATTCGATTACCCCCCGACTCTGCCTCTCATTCGTCACAGCCACTCATGGCTTCCCATTCGAGATCACCTTCGACAAACCGTCTACCGGATATGAGCAATGTTCATCCTGGCGTTTCACCTTTCCCTCGTTCAAATCACACACCGAACCATTCGGTAACAAATCTCCGTACCGTTTCGGATGTTAAACGACAGAATCGGCCGAATACTATGGCAGAGGTTCTTAGCTCGCCTGGGGCCGGCGGGAGTAGCTCTGCGAGTATGTCTCCACCGCCGATGCCGAGGAAAGGACATAGTAGGGAAGAGTCAACAGAGACGGGGAGTCACAGCATGTCTACGACAACAGACTCTACGACGATACCGCCAATGTATGCTCCGGGTGCTGGACCTAGTCGACCGGTAATGGAAAAGGGAAGACGGATCTCGAATCGCTGATCGTGTTACCCACCATACAATTCTTACTGCAAAATTAATGCACTAGGTTTCTGTTCGAGGGAGTTCTGTCATTACTATAAATTTTTCTCCTAATCCATACGGTGAACAGCCAAAGAGACGTATTCAAAGCATACCGGAGTGGCTCTCGCGCATCTCTCAACCCAGTTTATAAGGTTGTTCACGAGTACTTTAGGCGCTTGATGGCCCTAGTAATACTATGTGAGCAACTTAGTACCGCTTACGAGGGTATAGTTTCATTTGAAAGACTCATCGCACTGTTAAAAAGTCATATTGATTTCACCAGTGGGGCTTTGAATGCGAGCAAGATCCTTTTTGAATTTCTCTTGTAGCAAGCTTGTAGGGCGTGTCTCATTCCCAGAAAAGAGGGGCGTTGAAATCATATGTGCAGAGGTTTGTCGTAATGATACTCGACAAATATACTTATGGGCATAATTCCTTACTGGTATGGGACTTAATACATTTGCACATTGCTCATTAGACCCACTTATCAGCAGCTGCATTCGGGGTATTAAAGTAGACGTCCGGTCCTATCAATTGGAATCATATTGTCCTTCATACAACTGATATGCAAATGGTGAGTCGAAATAAATCGGGACAGGTCAGAAAGTTCAACCCTCTCGACGGCGGTAAACACTCGGTCAGAGTCGAGATCATTTTGCCCAGATTTTGGGCCTAATTGGTAGGCCGGCTTCGCCTGGTTCAATTCACAAGGCTACTTTCCACAAGAACGTATGCTTCCCTGAATCCCAGATAAAGCGGCGTGAGTAGGACAAAAGAAATCGAATACACAAAACGCATGAGATACCCCATGCTACGTGGAGCGGCCCCTCATACCCAACCTCCATGAACGCGAGAGTTTGGACACCCACAAATTAGACCGAGAAAAAGATTGGAACACGGTCAGGGGCCCAACTGGGAATTGAACCCAGGACCTCTCGCATAAGGATTGCTGGTTCAAACCTACCCAAAGCGAGAATCATACTACTAGACCATTAGGCCGACAGTCACTGAATTTGATAGTCAACTATAACGCACATTCCCACACCCGAGTGAACAAGCCTGTCGGAAGCTCCGCGAGTAGGAGTCTTCTGCCAATTACTGGAGAAGAAAATGGGAGTAGCAAGTGAGCCAAAAGTCAGTAACCCAGTCTACGAGTGGATAAAACGTACGTCCCCATGGATCCCTTACCCTCACTTCTCCTTGACATATTCAATTTAACACCACATAGAGACGGAGTCTATACCCTCATAACCAGAACGTACGGATCGGGGCAGTTTCACCTGGAAGACCACGACTGGCAGGAGATCCCATCCTCCAGATGATGCCATGAAATCCTCTCTCGTGAGCTATTGCGACAAATGGAGTTCGGCGAGATCGGTTCTTGGCTAGCAGAGAGTAACTACTACTCAGTTGCACCGTCCCGAGTCCGATTGACCCAAACTAATACGTGAGCGCCGGAGAAAAAATATAGCCGAGAAGATGCAGGTACGCTCTTCATGCAAGAGACAAAAAAAGGGGAGAGATTCGTGCGATAAGACTGAGCTGGGGATCACAATAATATGCAAGCTAGTGCGACCACTCAGAACTCACCGAAAGAAGATCGAACATCGAGCCATCTGGCCAACAAACCGGATGAGTAAGTAGATTCGCAGAAAGATGAACTTGGGCGAGAATAAGCGCACTAATACCCCCATTCTAGTGAGACCCGGGCTAATCACAACCTCCCCGAGCCCAACAATAACAAACCAGTTTTCTTCTCATCGACATCATTGTTTCAGGGGCCGGTTGCTACATCCTCCCGACCACGTACGTTCCTATCGTCGGTACAACCTAACGAGTGGATTATAGTCATTAGGGCTGGCAAAGATGCGCGACGAAGCGAAGGAGAGACGACCTGCCCGATGCCTATATAACCACGTAGGCTCTCCGCTCCCCTCATCTTTACCAGCACGGCATCGCTAGCTTGTTTTGAACGCGTCAGTAAAGAAACGGAATAATTTCACAAACATATTTTACCTTTGCCCTAGCGAATGTAGGTCGATCGATTAGCCAGTATCAGAGCACCGAGACTCAGAGGCACGTTCTCCAAGGGAGGAAAATGAAGAAAGATGAGGATGGATGAGTGACGGGTAAGCTGATACCTGCTCGGGAGGAAAGGGGTGGATGAGGAAGAGGATGACAAAAGAAGCAGTCACCCCATGCACGATTATCAAAGGGTCCGAGCCCCAATTCCAGGTCATACCAACAATCGCGTTTGAAGGCGAATTGGCTGATGATCGATAATTGCACCACACTCAAGAATGCGAGCAATAGAATCCAGCTAGAACTTGTAGAGTTGGGTCTCCGGTGCTCTGTGATGAAACCTACCGAATAAACATCAAGAGATCAAACTGTTGTTGGTCATGAGAGAGATTTGAATATCAATAGGTCGCTGAGCGAGAAGAAATGGTACTAACGAGGGGGAAAAGAGCCCATAGAGTCAACCTAGAGGCGGAGGGATATACCGCGAGCTCTTGAATATAGAGGACTAGAGCGCTAATCTCTTTCGACGCCAGAGTCGACTCAGAATTCGGGATACTAATTTTGTACGGGTCAAAATATGAATAACGCTGGCAAAGGGACAAGATAGAGTCAACTGTACCACTGTACCATTCAAGAATAAGCTGAACGTACCGGTTTTTGCTAGCGTGTGTACTCTACAAAAGTCGCCGTTTCATCGTATATAGGATCACTCGTAACTTCAAGGCAAAGGAGCAAGAAAACCTTGAAGGCTTACGATCACAAAGAAAATGGGAGCCGATAAGCATCGCTCCATCCTAGCAGAAATCTCAGCGAGAAGGCAGACGAGCCCAGACTTGATTGTATCCTCCGTGTGAGCATCCTATCGAGTTTGCCGCATATTTGGACGCAGTTCTGGGGAGCTTGGACGGCGATAGAGACGGGTTCGGGGATGTTTGGCATACGTGCTCAATACTGGGCGGTGGAGAAAAGATAATAGTACGGATTGTGAGATGGAGTGGATGCAGGGGGGTAACCGGAGACGCACTGTGCTGGTAGGAGCAATGTTATGGCTGGTACTCTTCCTGATTCTTCTTTATGTCTACCAGCTGTCGTTGATATTGTATTTTGTGTTGGGCTGTGAAGAAAGAACTATCGATATCGATAAGGCCTTAAAGACTGGCAGAGATTTAGAAACCTTCCCAAATCCCGACATCGGGCGTCTTGAAATGCAATCCCAAGGCCCAATGCGAGGGGATCACAGCGCAGGCGAGTGAAGATAGGTGACAGCTAGTCATAAATCTTCGTGAGCTGGACCTCGGAGTACTGTGCTGTCGTGCGAGAGGAGAATCTGACCATGAAGGTAGAGATGAAACACACCGTATATCAACCTTTCCGATATCTCCGAAACCACCCACATCGGACTTTATCGGCATCACTAGAAGCGCCCGAATCTCGATTGATTGATCCACAACGTCCATCATATCTCACCCAGCACTTTGGAACCGCTTGGCTGTTGTGAGCTCGCTGCAACTACTCCTTGTTCTTCAAGACTAGTATTCTTTGATACTCGCTGCGTCAGTGCTCGAGATCGCCGTCCTTCCTCACCTTTGTTATGCTCGATTGACAAACTTCAAAACACGAGCGCTTGCAGGTGTCCTTCCGGAAGGCGTTCCCTGAAGAGCTGCCTTATTTCCCATCGGAAACCAAGGCATCCCAATTCTCCGGGGCTATGCCTCTACACTCGTTGTTCTCTTTGACGACAACAAATTTTCGGCCCAAGTGGACATTGATCGTTCTTCCGCCAATATCAATGCTTCGTAACGGCTGACCCTTTGGCTTGCAGCTTATGACAATTGCTGATTCCATGATTAAAGGACCAACGTCGCATGGGCTTCCATTCTCGGTGCTGGTATGCTGCTAGGGGAGACTATTCCGGATATTGCGTGCTTGCAGAAGCTCAAGGTCTATTGCTGACTAGATGTAAGTAGAAGATGAAAAGAACTGAGAGAAGGGGTGCGTGTTCGCTTCAAAACCGACATTTTCTGACTAACACCCGTAGCGTCTTAGGTCAGATGCTTAGCACCACGGTTGAACGCGAACTTTCAAGCTCCCAGGGACCCTCTTCTCATGCGACAGCACGAACTCCGTTGTCTCCACGGAAATAGTACACCTTACTAATCGTTTCTTTTGAAGCTTTTCTCGCTTCCTCTGTCCGATTTATTCCTTTTCACCGCCTAGAACATGTAAAGATAATAGAAGCCCTTATAATCACATCCTCCGCCCTCGTCGCCCTCGCCGAGACAAACCTCCAATGGAACATGCTCATGTTCTCCGAGCCAAACTACAAAACCTTGTTCATCACACGTCTTCCTCCGTAGCAAGCGTGAGGAATGGATCACTCTCGGTCTCTCTACCTAGAACGAAATCCCGTCCTTTGAATGGGACGCCAACTCGTACATGGCTCTTCTTGTCTACGCCGGTGAAGAATGCAAAGGACATGTCGTACAGGGATATCGGGACAAGTCGTTCAACCTCTCAGTGTTCGAGAAGAGCGAGAACAATATGAAGTCAAATTCCTACAACATGGTGGCGTTGTAACGGCGATATGTGTGTGACTTTACTTTTGGGTGGATCCATCAATAGACTCACCATCGGTTATATGTTCATATGGTATTCACTACGAACCGTGATTTGGGAGCTAGTGCTCCCATAAAAATTCGGTAGTAGGAGTCCCTAATCGTTACCTCAACGGCTGTAACATATTGATGCAAGCAGGTGTCAAAGGTTGATGCGCAAGGCAGAGATAAACCCGAGGGAAGGAAAGTGAAGTAGATCGTGGTGGGTGACAAAAGACGATCCACAAGCTCGTCTCCTATCTGCCCCAAACGCTCAGGTATTCCGAAGGTTCGCCGCAGGGTAGTAACCCCAACAGCGGCAGCGCCCTTGCAGAAATTGTGTCAGTGTGACTCAGAAGGATAGGACCTCACGGTGATTGACATTGGATATAATGTGTGGTTGTCGTTCGCGGCTATCTCCCTAATTTGGCTCTTCTCGGATCTTTCCAGGTCATGGTTGACTATTCGAAACACCCAGGTGTCATGCACCGCTGATCATGTATCCGCTCCTCACAGAAGATGAGAATCAGTGAACAGAAATGAGAGTAGAGATGATGGGGGTGCACGATAGGTGCTTGATCATGAAAACATCCTACCTGAGTAGCTTACGCCGGCACGCCGATTAAAGCTAAATGGGGACTGTGGATGCAAAGCACAATAATGAAGCCCGAGGAGGTGAACATCCTCCAAGTCAGCCAGCGTGTGTACGTTCAGCCCCCGAGAACTATAATCTACTTGTTCAGATCAAGGCTGCTAATTAATATAGCAGCACAAACGGACCACAACGTGAATACACTCGTTGAACCAGATATCTCATAAGCTGAAGCCAGAAACGATGGTCGTATAATCATATTCGAGCATAGATCTCCAGGCGGCTCGATGATTAGCGAATAGAACAATCAGTAGTTGGAATATAAAAAATTCTCTCTCATTGAGATATCCCCACAATCTAGTTTACGAAGAGTGAGACTGAATGTATACTGTGGGTCAAGGCTCGGTGGCCGGCAGTTCTGACAATATTCTCTTGTATTTCGCATTTCGAGAGCGCGTCGTTGAAAGAAGGAGGTTCTTCAAGAATGGCAGCTGATCCCTGTTGACATTAGTGGGGGTCAAACCTTGCGATTCAGCTTACGATTCAGGATTCGATTCATGAGGTGAATCGGTGAAACGGCTCCAGAGTCGATTCACCCAGCTGAATCGACGATTCATGACATCGATTCACACAACACAGGATCAAAACAGATTGAAAAAAGCTGATTCATGTATTGCAAATCAAGTTCTTGGCACAAGGGGGGTGGGGGGTCAAAGTCCATTCGCGATTCACCCTTGATTCACCATCCCGAATCGACCGTGAATCAGACCTTGAATCGACGGATGAATCGC